GCGCCTGGTTATGGGTACTCATTATAGCACTCCATAGCTGCCCATATTTCTCCTTTATACTAGTACCACTCAACACAAACACAGTTACATAATTATTTGTGTAGTGTTTGTTTACTTTCCGTGTGTGACTAGATATTTTAAGATATTCATTGATTTCTCCCCCCCTAGATATTTTGTTATGGTTTGGTTCCCCAGCATCAGGTTGCCAGACCATGAGGCAATTATTATCTAAAAGGGTAATAACTACAGTAAAAAATAGACAAACAACAGTCAAATTCTTGTGTTTTAAAAACAAAGCTTTAATGTACAGTCATCAGCCGTGCAGTTTATCCCACCCAAGATATCACCCTGGAAGACTAACCATTCCAAGACAGGAGGAGAACTGAGCCAATGGGATGCATTAGATGTTGGTAGAGCCCTATTCTGAGATATGAGGAGACAAATGGGAAGACTTCTAGATGGTTTGGGGAATCTGAGAGCAGTCTGAGATAACTGGCATAATGAACAAATTCCATGTGAATAAAGATAGAACTCTCAGGGTAAAATATATTTTCGTGAAAAGTCCTTTTCTGAATATTTTAAAGAACCCAGAAATAGAAAACATTTTGAAAATTAAATAGTTGCATTTGAGCCATGGTAAGTAATAGCATTATAACAAGTGGCACAATTAAAAGAGGGTTTTTTAATCCTTTTTTGCTACATATAATTAATCATATGTAATATGTTTTCACTTGTAATTATACAATTGTTGCATACAATAATACAATAAATATTAAAGGGTGCAGTATAGAAATACATACTTTAGAGACAGAAATCTCTCTGTGTAACTTCAAAGTCTACTCATTTAGCTAATTGGCTTTGTTTCTCACTTTCTGAATTTATAACTAAATGTATATTTAAGAAAATTTTAAAACAGATTTTTAAAAAGACATAATATATTTTACTCTGAAAAACATGTAGATCATAAACTTTAAAAGTAATTTGGTTAATAAGCTACTTTATTTCATAAATAATACAATCAAAGCCCCCAATTTTAAATTTCAGGAAGTTATTACTAGAAAATGTTTAACTTCTCCCAAACCAATCAATTTTAGTTGCTTTTTAACAATTTTCCCTATAATTTTGTGGTTATTATGTTATATGACTTGAGACCCCTGCACAATACATATATGAGATACTTAAGGCATGTTTGATGTTTGCTATCCTTTTCTGAAAGAGTGGATTATTTTCCATGAGGATGAAAAATACATTACATGAAGTCTGTTTCTTTAGATGACCAATGGATAAACCCATGCAAGAAGAGTAAATGGAAATAATTGGATGTCTTGTTCCTTATGAGTTAATCTTAGAAGTCCTATGTAAATAGTACCATCTGAGTACAGATTAAAGCTAAGCTGGTTAAAGATTCTGAAGTTTAGAGTTTGCATCCCTTTTTTATTCTCCATTTTATTTCTTAATATTTCTTAATGTATTAAATACTTTAAAACATTTGCTATAATTCCCTTACTATAAAAAAAGGAAAAATCTAAAGGAGTATAATGGAGCAATATAGGCAGTAAAAGAATGACTATGAAAATTAAAATATTTTGGGGGTCATGGATTCAAAAGATGTGTAAGTATTCTCCGCCAAACTTCCCAGCTTTCTTTATTTTCCTGTGGCACTGAATTTTTTTAATAATGTTGAAGATTTTAGACCAAAACTTCTATGTAATGATGCTGGGAAATATAAGAACTACACATTTTCAGATGAGCCTACAGGCAATTCCAATACCCATGTATTCAAACCTCATCTACTCTTTTTTATGAGTAGCCTTCCTCAATGGATGAATACAATGACACAATTTAAGTAAGTGTCCAAATGACCACCACTCTGGTTCACATAATATACCTTTTTAAAAAATCCTGAAAAGTTAGTACCAGGCTGTCAGGTCTAGAAACCATATGTTCAACTAGACCATAGGAAAACATTACTGCAGGTAGAGCATATGCTTGGCAAAGCCATAGATCACCATCTGGGCCCTGCTTCTTCCAAGAAGCTCCAGCTGGGGGATAGCATGGCATCTTTCCAATGGCGATGGTTCCCTTTGGGCCATCAGAGACTCAAAAGAGTATGGATCCCTTATGGCTCAGTCAGACCATGCGATCACCATGCAGACACATATTGTATGTAGACGTTGTGAATGGGCCAAGCCAGTTATTTCCTCCATGGTGTGTTCTTTGGTGTCCTTCAAGTATCCTCACTCTTCAACCCAGTTTGAAGATTGCTGGTCACTTTGACTTTACCTTTGTTTTTTAAGGACACAATATTCAGGTTCCACAAATATTAGGAGTCCACTCTGTGCTTCTTTTGACCTTAGGAAAGATAAATCTATTTCCTTTCTAAACTTCTTAAAAGAGGCTTAATGGAGTTTGGAATTTTTCCTATTACAAAAATTCTTAGGTTTTTGTCAAAAGATATTTGAAATACCATGTTGAAATTATGTACTCACATGCCTCACCACCACCTCCAAGTAACTGAATCACATAAATAAAACATTACATAGAAAGTGCTTTGCTACAATTTATGGGTGGTAAATTTAACAAGAGCTGGCTTCATTGTAGGAAAATTCAACTTATCTTTTCCTGGTCCTTTTATTCTACACAAAAAAAGAAATTTATGTCAGTTTTTTAAAAAAATCTTTTAAAAGAATCTATTACTGCTTCTCATAATGGAATCCACTATTTTTCTCCACGATCAATCAGGTAAAAACAAGAATAATAGATCGCTTGGACAGAGGCGTGAACATAAACATCTCCAAGAATTTAACGTAGAAAGTTAAATGGGTTTCAGGTGGTATTAAAACAAGAAAGGATCATCTTTATACATTTAAAAAAATCAGATTTTACTGGGAAAAAAAAGTATTCTTATTAGCTGCTACAAAAAGATAAGTTATATGGTATTTGAATTTTCACAATTTGACAGGATGACTTTGAATAATTGAACTTGTCTTATACATAGTCAACTGATTAAAAATATCGTGGTTACCTTACTTTACAAATATTTTCTGCTCATAAGAGCATAAAGGGGATCTATAATTGTTAGCTCCACATAACCCACTTTAGTTTCAGAAAAATTTGAGTGAATGTACACATACCTACTTACTATATGTATATAGAACAGCTAGATAAAATTCTCAGGGAATTTTTTCTTTAATTAATGATATCCAGCATCTAATACTATCTAATTTTATTCAAAAAAGCTAACCTCCCAACTTGTCTCCAGGAAAATGACCACATTTCCAACTTCAGTTAAAAAACGTATTCAAAGCCAACTGGCCCTTAACATTCACATTAAGCCTATTATTGGTTCAGGGCTGGGCATATGACCCCAATTTGTCTGGACAGAAAAAGAATATTTCTCATGCAAGATGAAAATGCAGAGAGAGCAGCTCCCCATTTTCTCTTACTAAATGAGAAGAGAACAGGAAGCTTCAGCTGCTACTGGCAGCCACCAGTGACCTTGAGAATCGGACAATGTTGGAAGCAGAGGGAAGAGTGGAAAGGGACTTGGATTTTAGTTAAGATCATTGAACTGCAACTAACGGCATTCTGCCTGGAGTCGGCCCTGCCTCCTGTGTTCCAGTTAGAAAATTACCAAATTTACTGATTGTTTAATCCACTTTGAATTGAGGTTTCTGTAACTGGTTGATATGTTGTTCTTCCTCTTTAAAAAAGGTGACAGAATATACTACTGTTTTCTCCTGGCTTGTTTTGTTCATATATCTTTACATCAGAAAATCTTTGAATATGCATTTGATTTTTGCAACTATCTTTGAGAACTGTCCCAAACCACATAATGAGGTACAAAATTTGATATACCCATTGTTTAAGAAGATAGTAATATTCTTACCAAAGTTAATGCAAACATAAGATAATTTAAAACACACACACACACACACACACACACACACACACACACACAAAACAAAAAAACAAAAAAAACAAAACAAAACAAAAACTTGTCTTACCAGGCAAAAAATATAGTTCCATAACCAAGGTCTAACACTATTCCTAGCATCAAGATCTGAAACAGAGCTTGACCTGTTTTGTAGTCAATTTTAAACTATGGTCTATAGGCCAAATGTAAGGTTTTTGTTTGTTTTTTAATTCTTCAGAAATTATAGGCTACGGCAATCCTACCCGCTCTTCTCTTGTTTTCCTAAACTATTTTGATATCTACTTCTTAGGTATTCAAGCTATTAGATGTTTCTTGCATATTTCCACAGATAATAACTCATCAGCTTTGCAATCTGATTCTTAACATTAAGAGATTAAAACTAATGTAGATGATTCTCAGATGACACATATTGAGGTATAGAAAATTCCATCATTTCCTTCTACAAAATGAGAGAAATTTTAATTCTTTTTCTCAACAGCTGCTTCATTTTTTATGCACAAGGAAAAAAATGTGGGCAATTACTCCAAGTACAATCAAGTCATTTAACATGGCTTTCCCATCATTGTAGTTGCAGGATATTTAAAAAGAGGAAAAAAAAAATCTCAAAGCATGGGTCCTGCTGTGCAGCAAAGCAATCAAATTCCTTCATAATAACAGTCTGATGGGATTCAGCAATCTAACGAATAATGAATAACCACCTTAATCAGTAAACAGGAAAATGCTACCACAGTCACTGAGTAAAAATTGATTATCATTTGTTGATCCTGTTGATCGACATTTCAAACAACAGAGATGTAAGTATTTTTAAAAAAGAAGAATAACTTTGTTTAGTGTGTTTGACTTTTTCTAGGCAGTAAGAAAATGATAGGCCATCTTAGACTGTCCTGTAGTGTTGTCCAGTCAACAAAATGTAAAAGCAATTTTTTTATAATACATGGCCAAATTGACCTTTTCACTTGAGTATGTCAAGTTAAACTCGTTTTTGCAACTGGTTAATAAGGTTGTATTTCTGGACTGATTATTGAACTTCATTTCTACTTCATTTGATTCTCTTCTTTACTATTCATCTTACAATGCTATTTGCATCTGAATATGCAGAGTCAAAAAAATCTTCAAGTTTCCAATACAGTTCCTCAAATGTTGGCCGATCCCTAGGCTCTGCATTCCAGCACTCCAACATGATGTTGTAGAATGGCAGTGGACAGTTAGATGGTTGAGGGAGTCGATAGTTTTGGACCAACATCTGGATTACCTGAGCACCTGTCATTCCTAAAAAAATATAGAATAAAATAAAAAATAAAAAAACAAGTTAAAGGTAAGATTATTAAGTCTATGGACACTTATACTGTCTAAATTACAAAGCAAATTGATTTCCTTGGCGGTGAAGAGAAGAGGTCTACCATCCCCCTCCCAGGCTGCAGAGGTTAAACTAATTCCTGTGGCAAGTAATGTCTATAAGACTGCTATTCAAGAGCAAAGAATGAGGCAATAAGCTATCTCATAAATGCAAATCATCATCAGATTTTACCTCTTCTCAAAGACATGGTCATCCTCACCACTCTGCCCTCTAAGTCTGGGTGAAGCTGTTAAAGACGCATCTAAGTAAGTGACCTGCATCAGAAAGGCCTGCTTCAGAATTAATTACTCACCACTATAAGGGACTTGGCCATAAGTAATGATTTCAAAAAGAAGGATTCCAAATGACCACACATCGGACTTAATGCTGAACTTATTAGAACGAATAGCTTCAGGTGCAGTCCACTTCACTGGCAGCTTTATTTCGTGTTTAGCTTCATAAATGTCTTCATTATCTACCTGTTAACGCATTAAGAAACCAAACGAAGTTAAAGTGATATATATATTTTTTTTCCATCCTCATTCATCTATGACCTGCTACACATTAAAATGTAGAGGTTAAAGATTCAAAATGAGCAAGGTAGCAAATTCCAAAACTGAGATACAAGTCTAAAAAAAAAAATCTGTGAGAAGTTATTAATAAAATATTACTTGAAAGCCTACTGTGTGCTAAAAATAGACTGAAAGCATTGGACTGCATATGGGAGAATTTGTGTGTGATAATACTGGCTTTACATCTTGTCTTTAGCAAATTCTTTTTAAAAAAATTCAAGCAGAGGCCGCTGTTTATTATTTACTGCTGGCATTAAAGAGCAATTGACTTCTATAATTACCATGTAACCACATTCTAACAATGAAAAGTAGAATCCAAATGAATTAAATTAATATATCAACTCACTGGGGTTCCAATTAATTTACAAAAAGAAATGATGAATTCATGAAGATCAAAAGAGAATAATTTATTTATAAAGTTTCATGACCTACACCCATAATTTTAGGGTACAACGTAGAAATCACAAGTTAAATTTAGAGAAAAACACTTAGCCTGGCTAGCATAGTTCAATAGTTGAGCATCAACCTATGAACCAGTAGATCATGGTTCAATTCCCGGTAGAGGCACATGCTGGGATTGCAGACTCGATCCCCAGTGGAGGGGCATACAGCTGATCAATGATTCTCTCTCATCACTGATGTTTCTACCTTTCTCTCCCTCTCCCTTTCTGTCTGAAATCAATAAAAAAACATTATTTAAAAAAAAAAAGAAGACGAAAAATGCCTGATAGTATATTGTCTATATTAGTGGTAGGAAAACTCATTAGTCAACAGAGTAGCAAACCACAGTTTGCCGACCACTGGATCAATGTCTTTGGACCAGGAATTAAAAAGCCTATGATTGCTGGCAGCATGAATATTACCCTGGCAAAAAGTGAGTAAAAGTGGCTCAGGTAACTGTACCAAGTGTGCTGCTCTTGATAAGGGAAATAGAGGCAGACAAACAAAAGCTACTGGTACTGAAAATAGATCATTAATTCAACTACAAACTTAATTATATCCTCTCCCATCTGGTTAATCATATTTCCTCTATTTCTTTCTCCTTGGTGAAGAATTGGAAACAGGAAGTAGTTTGTCTGTAAGGCCCTAGGCTATTAAACTGTTCTATGGACCACAGAAAAACTTGGAGAAACATGGTCTTAAAGAATAACATCCCTAGCTGGTTGATCAGTGGTTAGAGCATCGGCCCACAGACCAAAGGGTCAAAGGGTCAAGTTCCAGTCCTTGGTTATAGGTTCAATCCCTGACCCAGGTTCAGCATAAGCAGGAACCAATCTCTCTCTTTCTCTCTCTTTCTCTCTTTCTCTCTCTCCATCACCACCACCACCACCACCACCACCACCTCCCTTCCACTCTGTCTAAAAATCAATGGAAAAAATATCCTCACTCCTCAGATGAGAATTTTTTAAAAAAGAATAACAGTATATCTATTAGTCTAGTGGTTTGTTAGGATTTTGACCCATTACAAAAAAAAGTAATTAAAACAAAAGCAAATTCACCTTAAACACTCTTGCAAGTCCAAAATCTGCCACTTTGTAGATATTATGTTCACCCACAAGGACATTTCTAGCAGCCAGGTCTCTATGGATGTAGTTCTGGGACTCAAGATAGGCCATTCCAGAGGCAACTTGTGCTGCCATGTCGACCTGTTGAGTCAGATTGATTTTTGATCCAAAATCATCTAGGCAATAAGAGAAAAGATTTACTTTGGGAAACATTTAAACTATTGAAGTGAATTCTGAGAATCTGGATGAAATGAGCTCTCCGTGGGATTAAGTACCATAGCACTGATCTGTTGAGCAAAAATATATATAACCACATAAAAGTTTTTATTTCCTGTAATGGGTTAATAAGGCAATAATTTTCAGAATCCAAATACAATCCAAGGCTGCAGTCTGCTCTTCCCTGAATGAGTATTATACTGAGAAGGAAACAATAGTATCACATGATCCAATCAGCTATAAATAACTGAAAGAGTCCAGGATTTGCCATTTTCCATACCTCACATCACTGTCTCATCTCTTCATGGAAATTGTTACTTGGTCACCTCAGGATGTCTCTCAAACAATGCATAGTTTGTTTTAGTCTTTGAACCTGTAAAACGATGCTAATTTGAATGGGGTAGGTTGATGAAAAGCTCTCATTCTTCTGTCACACTGTACTCAAGAACTAGCTCACTAACAGAAAGGAAGGGTCTGCCAGAAGTTATAAAATGTGTACATTACATCTGCACTCCATTCCATTTGATACATTTTTAATTACCCCTTTTTAGCATGTCATTGGGCATCCCTTTAATAAACCTAGTTTCTCCTACTGCTCAAGATCTGTACCACTAAATAGTAGTAGGGTCTATTTGATCACTAATAGAGAGGTTAGTGTTATTTTATGATGACTTTGTGAAAAGGGACTGACCAGCCATCCCTAGATAGTATTTAGCTGTCACACTCTTAGTAGATATGTCCAGCTTTCTGAATAATTTACAAACTGTCATGTAAATCTAAACCATCATTATCCCTGACTGAATAAGCCAAATATTGTGAAAAATGTGTGGGATTCATGGTCCAGCGTCTTAGGCACAACTTTTGACTTGAAAGGCAACTATAGTGCAGGTGTTCAAAAGACTGGTGTGAAGCCAGAGTGCCAGAATTTGGAGTAAACTGTGTCACACTCTTATGCCTCATTGAGTTAACACATATAAAGCACTTAAAACCATGCCTGGCATCTAGAAGGAACTCAGTAAACCCCAACTATTCTCATTATCATTGCTGCTGCCTAATCAGAATTAGAGAGTTTAGCATTTGTTAAACTAGAAGTGCATGTGGATTGTCCAGATTGAAATGCCTAAAAGAAAACAAGCATATCAGTTTAGAGTTCTGGGGAGAGCTGGAGATAACAATTTAACAGTCACAGTTTATGAGTGGGAGGTAAACATTAAAAGTGGATCCAATTGCTAGAAAGCAACATGAGAAACAGCAACATTTAGGGTGTGAAAAAGAGTCACTACCATTGTCAAATTCTACAAATAAGTCCAGCAAGATAGGGACTAACATCCTTTGCTAATATAGTAAGTAAGGGAGTCACTGGTTCCTTTTTGGCAGGAAAAGCTGTTTCACTGAAGGTGGAGTGGAAGGGGTTGAGGGCTGGATGGGAGTTGAGGACATGATGACATCCCTCCTGAGTACCCTAAAGTCAGGGACTCCAGAGAAACTTGCATTCACACAAACGGCAACAAGCTATAGAGTTGTATTCAGTTAAAGGATATCTCAGTGAAAACATCCCGGTCTCCTTCAGTATACTTAAGTGAACTGTCAAGGAAATGAGCAACGTGCTAAGATTTGATTTATTTTTTTAAAGAAAATATTCTAACATATGTCAGATCTATAAGTATTTATTGGGAAGAAAACAAGCCAAACTAAAGTAGGAAATAATGCAGATATTTATCCTCTTCAAAACTTCAGTAAGAAATACCTGCATCAATTATCCTCAATGCTGAAGTCTTTTGACAAGCTCTCCCATTTTGGAGAAATTTATTGCAAAAAATATTCAGCCAAGCTTAGGGATTATAAAGATGGTTCTACAGAAAAATGCGTATGTTATTTCAGCTATCAAATACAACATCTAATCCTATTACAGTGGACATAAAAAGGTTTTCACTGACTAGCACAATAGAGAAGAAAATTGAGTAATAACAAATTTCCTCTCCTGAAAACGTGTAGAGTCCTAGGAACTGCCTAACTCAACCTCAGAACACACTTCAAATAAAATGGCCAGATGTCAAAACTGATATAAAGGTTCACAAACGTGTGACAATTTACATCTGTAGCAGGAAAATATTTTCAATTATGTTCTTCGCTCAAGAGTCTCCCATCTTAATATTTATCGTTATAGGCTATTTAAGCATAGAAATTTCATTATAAGATCATTTGTTGAATTTAAGTCCTCTTGATTGGAAGGGATTGTCTATAATATGCATATCTTCACTACTCTTCCTTGCTGTTCACTACCCTGGTGAATGGCAGCCTGGTAAACTTGACCTCATGTCCCAACCCAGATGATGACAGGCTTCATGCTTAGCCCCAAGTAAAACACATTAACAAGCCACAGAAATTCTCAATGCCAAGGGAGTCTGCAGGGTAATAAGTGGGTCTTTTCAAGCTGATACTAAAAGCCTCAAAACAAGCTTGACCCTACGTCAATCTTATTGGGTTCAGAATAGCCCCAACATAATCTATCCATTAATTTATCCATTCAGGCAGTCTGTAGATAATTAGTGCACACCATTTATATGCAGACACTGTTTTAGCACTAAAACAAAGAAAAGTCGTCTCTGCTCCCATGAAGTTGCACTTTAGAAGATACTAAAAATAAGCTACATAAATGCCATGCAGTATAGTTAACAGCTAAAAGAAAGAGGGAAAAAAAGTGGGAAAGAGGAATAAAAAGGGTCAATAGAGGGAGATTAAATTTTAGAATTTACAGGGTGATCAGTGAAGGACTCACCGTAATGGGGATGTCTGAAGATCTTTCAGGAAGATCTTTCAGGAAGTAAGGAAGTGGACTGTGAGGATAGATAATGGGAAACAATTTCAGATCTAAAAGTACAGCAAGTGAGATGCTCTTGAAAGAAAGCACATCTGAAAGATTGGAGGATTGGCAGAGAAGGGCAGTGAAGCTGACACAGAGTGGACAAAGGGCAAGTTGTGGGAGATGTGGGCAGAGCGGTAATGGAGAACCAGGTCACTCAGTACTTTATGGGTTAGAGAGTAGAACCAATAGGAGTCACTGAAAATTTTGAGCTGATGAGGAGTATGTTCTGATTTACATTTTAACAAGATTTCTCCAGCCATTATATTGAGAAGAGAATGAAGGTTTCAAGAACCAAAAGAGGGAGTCTAGTTAGGAAGCTACTGCAGAACCCAGGAACTGATGCAGGCTTCGGCCAGAGTGGAGTATTGAGAAGTAGTAATATTCCGGACAGATTTGAAAAGCAGGACAATAGAATTTGCTGGTTGGTTAGACATGGGATGTGAGAAGAAGTAGAAATGAGTCCAAGATATTAGGCCCAATTGTTGACATTGTCAAATAAAGAAAAAAACCACAAGAGTAGCAGATTACTGGGAATAATACAAGAGGATCAGTTTGGGACATGTTTAAAAATATGTAATAGACATAGGGAGTAGAGCTGTTCACATAAATTTATTTTTTTATCCATTCAAACACTTTAGATAATCATACTCCCCTACTCTATTTGACTTGATTAGACCAAATGGAGAGGACACATTCTGTTAGATTTAACACTGTGAATGTTACAAGTGACGTTGACAAAGCATTTTTGTTAATGACAAACGAAAATGGCTCCTGTACGTTTGTCTGGGAATAAGGACAAAGTTTCATTAGTTAAAATTAGTCTTTCTATAGTGCACAACATATTCTGATGCTGTTAAACTTTATATATTTATGCAAGGGAGCTAGCATATTTTTGCTTGTAATAGCATTTAACAGGCTTTATGTTCTTGGTCCTTCTAATCTAGTTTTGCAATTTAATATTACCAGCTTCACAAATCACCCTGAGATAAGAAAATACTTGTATCTTTCTGATATCATCATTACATTATTCTCATTTTCCTTTACCTCTTTAAACATTATATCAACCCCACTATGACATTTCAAAAAGCATAGAAAAATCTCTTTTTTAAGTATGAATTACAGTCGACCCTTGAACAACATGGGTTTGAACTGCACAGGGTTTTTGTTGGTGTGTGTTTTTCTCAGTAAATACCTGTACTGTTTTTGATCTGTATTAGGTTCAGAATAGCCCCAGCGTAATCTAGTTGTATAGATGCAGAGGATCAACTAGATGCATTGATCTATGCCATTTTATGTGGGGGACTTCAGCATCCATGAATTCTGATGTCTGCATGAGGTCTTAAAAACCAAACTCCTATGGCTACTAAGGGACAATTGTAATAAGTAACTTTGAGGGGGTCAAAAGTTATACACAGATTTTTAATTGTGTGGGGGGTTAGCACCATAATCACACATTGTTCAAGAGTCAACTGTATTCTCTCAGTTCTTGATCTCAACTACTTTGCACATCTCATTTTAAGGCTTATTATATTGTTGCTTATGAAATTTTTCATTAATAAACATCCAAGTTTTACAACACCCTTAAGTCTTCTCTGACTATAGGAAGGAGATATAAAAATAAAGCAATAGCATATTTCTGTTTTTTAGTACAAAAATTATAATATTGCCTAACAATGAAAGTATTTTAAACACCAACAACTACAACTTAGTCAAACACTGGCAAAGAAAAAAAAATGAGGTTACTTCTCCCTCTCTTTCTCTGAAAATATTTTATATCCCCTAATTCTGAGCCATAGAAAAATCTTGGTCCATGACTGATAATGTTCAATTAGTTATTATAGGATATTATAGGAAACAAAGCATCATGCAAAACATCTATTCTTCAATTTTCCACATTACATTTAAGTATTTTGATGTGTCTACTGTGAACACTTTGTTCTCCCACTACATAAATATTTTCCTTCCTTTGAGTACACAGTATATATCCTATTAAAGAATAGTTGAGCAATTCAATGTGAAGACATTCATTCTCACCAATATACACATAGTAAATATCCTTTGGGTTATAGAAAGCTTGCTAAATTGACATTTATAAGACTTGCTAAACTAAATCACGCTCTTTTTTTCCTTTTATTAAGTCTTTAGCTTACTTTTGAGATATTCTAGCAGACTTCCATGTCTCATCAACTCTGTAATAATATAAATTGGATCTTCTAAAGTGCAAACAGCATAAAGCTGGATAAGCTTTGGATGTCTTAGGTTCTTCATTATCTGAGCCTCCCTCAGGAAGTCATTTGGATCCATTGAACCTGAAACAAGAAGAGGGTGAAATCACTTTAAGTTATTGAAGTTTCCCTATCCTCACAGCAGCCTGGTAGGAATCACCAAGATTGCTTCCTGCCTCTCAGTAAAGTAAGAGCATTGGTGTCACAAATCTTCAGATTTATCAAAGAAGAGAATCAGTTCAGCCAGAGCAACCTAATACTGGATGTATTGGTGCATCAGGGTGTGCAGTTTATATGTTATGACCTGTAGCTGAAGAAAGGTTGATACAAGTCCATGTGAAAAATAAAGAAAAAAGGAGAGACTGACAGCCTAATTGATAAAACGAGGCAGGCATCTTCAGAACACAAAGAGAAGACATTCTGTGAACATAAATACTGGAGAACACTGAATATTTTTGGCCTACCATGCAGGGAAGACGGATAGCTTTCCTGTCCTTGGTACCTATTATAGGAACAGGTGGATAACAATCCTAAAACAATGGCATTTGGCTCTATTTATATCTTTATTTCTGTAGGAATATATGATATAAAGCCAGTGTCAGCAAACTCATTAGTCAACAGAGCCAAATATCAACAGTACAATGATTGAAATTTCTTTTGAGAGCCAATTTTTTTTAAACTTAAATTTCTTCTAATGCCACTTCTTCAAAATAGACTCGCCCAGGCTGTGGTTGCTATTGAGCCACAGTTTGCCGACTACGGGTATAGACCAAGTAGAAAATGTTCAAAGGCCACTCCCAAAACTTAGAATTTTCCCATCAGTTATTTATGTTTAGCTTGAACCTGATATTCAACATTTTCTCCTATATTGATACTTCCACAGAATCTTAATAGCTTGATCATATGACAAGGGATACAGTATAGGGACCTATTCTGAAGACTCATCTACGATTAAATTGCATTTAAATGGCTCAATTCTGACTCACCATGCAAAGTACCACATAGTTACCATCAAATAAAATCTGAGAGGAGGAGGATACATGGAGTATCTCCCTTACATTTCATCAGTAATTTTTAAATCTTTAACTTCTTGTGCGATATGATGTTTCAGAGGATTACTGTAAGTGAATAAATACTGTAATTTCATACCTCAGTATTCACTATGAATAGTGCAAATATTTCCACTGATGCTCAAAGAGACTGTTCCACTCATCATCATCTTATGTTGAGGATTTGACAACTGACATTTGAACTGAGGCATGCAGATAAGCTCTGACATTCTAAGGTAATAAATACTCTGACCTATTTACTAATGTGAAGAGTTACATGAGACCTGCAGATCATTTCACAGAAAGCATTTAGGTCATTTATCCTTTGATATGCCCTTTGAGAGTCCAGAAGTTCACAACCCAGGCTCAATTAAACTCAATTCTGAACAAATCCTGGCTCACTGTGTGATCTTTAGTAAGTTACCAAACATCTCTGAACTTCAGTTTCTCCATCTGTAAAATGTGACTAATAATCTCATTGACATAATAAAATGATTGTCAGGATAATAACAATGCCTGACACATATGTATTCAACTACTCTTGACCATTATTTATATGATTAGAAATAGCATACACTGGGATAAACTAACCAAATCAACTCTATGTATTTGTTCACAGGCTGAAGGGGGTGGAGGGGGAAGGACTTAAAGAAGGGAGATAGGGGAAATAGCCTATTCTCTTTTCCATCACATTTTTGCTGAGCTTCCTCCATTTCATCCACACCATTTGCTTGCCCTATATAATAAATACTATTAAAATCTTGAATCATAGAGGCAAAATGAAGCCAAATAAGAAAGAGACACTCAAACCATAATAAAGGACTTTGTTCTTGGTTGTTACCACTAGATTGGCCTATGATCAGATATGGATATAGCGGGATAACTCCCCCCCAAAAAATTAATCTAATTTATGGAGTTTCCAGTGATAGCAGAAATTATGATCACCATTCAGACAACTTAGATATACAATGTTTCTATGCTGATGCTTTGGTGAGCATCAGCTTCAGGGAATACAGGACACCCAAATCAGTGCCAAATCAGACTGTCCACAATAGCTGAAACCATGTATGTCAGGAACCTCTGCAGGAGAGGGCTGGCTGCACTGGTTATAGCTGACCAGCTGCACAGCAAAGGAGACCCGATCTCAACTCCGCTTGTAATGCAACATTAAATATTAATTTCTGCCTGTCAAAGCTACTGTGGGAGTTGATTTCAGGCTCGTCTTTATTGCATGGTAGTCTGCTAAGCAATAAATAGCTGCTGGGATTGATTAATGGCCCCAGTGAAGTGAAGACATTTAACCAATCACCAAAGCTGTTTGCTGCTATTACACTGTAAATCAATAATAATTATTCCTGTTGGAGAGAAAACTATTGCGGCACATTTTTTGATATAAGAAACCTGATTTTTTTTGTGTTCTTTTTTTACCTCCAAAAGGTTTCCTTGGAGAGCAATCTTAGGATGGATAGCTAGCTGCTTCTTTTTGGAAAAGCATTAGAGTGGACATTAAAGTTTACTGTCAATTGTCCACAAAATTAGTGTTCAAAATCATCAACACACAGTGACTGTGAAAAATCTCAGGTGCTGGAACAGGTCGCCCTCGCTCACCTGGAGTATTCTCGCATGGCATTTGGTCACTTAAAAGTGTTTGTTCATTGTTCTCTGTTGGCAGGGGTAAATGGCAAGGCTGGGCCCCTGCACTAGCGAATTTGTACATTAGTGGACATCTGTCCACAGCTGATTGGAGCTAACATTATTAAGAACTCACTGCAGACATTTGATGTAAATTTACTCAGTTTGTCCTTATAATATCCTATGAAGTGGGAACTGACATAATTTCCACTTCAGATGAGGAGGTGCAAAAAGCATAATAAATTGTCCAAAGTCATAGAGGGCAGAGCAACGTTAAGACTCAGGTGTGTCCCACACCGAACTTTATGCTCTTAACTGTTATACCAGAAGGTCTCACATTTACTCAGTTCATGGCACACTCACTGTCGCAGTAACTTTTTCACAATGCTCCTAAGCCACAATGAATGCCTAACAGTCCTATTAATTACTTGGTTAAATGCAAACTACTTAAGATGGACGTGTATCCTAACAGAAATGATTTTTAAAATTTTATTCTTACTTATAATTAATTTCTAAAGGAATGCATGCATCTACTGGGCAGTGCACAATTTCTCAGATCTTGGAAGCTGATAGAACACTGCTACCTTCATTTCCTATTTCACATTGATTTTTATGTCCATCTTGCATTTGATGACAGCAAACACCAAAAACCTGGTTTGATGTCAGCAAAAGGAATATAACATGATCTAATGCTAAAGCTGCAAATGGTGTAGCAGTTTGTGCAGTATTTGATATGTTCACCTCAAAACTTTTAAATCCAGTCCTTGGGCAGTTTGGAACAATAGTGTTTACAAAACTGCTAGCCAACAGCACCCAGGTGTTCAAGTGCTGCCACCTGGTGGCTTTCTAAGTGTCTGCGAATTCTGGACTAGTTAAATAATGGAGGTCCCCCAGAGAATTCGATTCTAGCTTTTGGTCACTATTCTTTCCCGTTATTAGAAGTAGGTATGCAGCTACTTCAGCAACATTTCACTTCCATACAATGTCACTTCCTTGGGGTTTGATGCAATAGGAGTATATGTGAATTCAAATTCTAGCTCTGCCTTTTACTGACTTTGTTTTTTTATAGTTTTATTATTATTATAGTTTGATTGGTCATGTACTATAAACCAAACATTATGTAAAGCATTTCCACCGATAACCTAATTTAATCTTCAGAGCAACCCTGCCAGGTTGGCTTTAACTCTATTTTGCAAATAATAAAACTGCGGCGTGGAATAGTTTAAAAATTCCTCAATATTGCATGACAAGTAAATCTTAAGGAAGTTATTTAATGTCTCTCAGTTCTCCTACCTCATCTTTACAACAGATAAAATAATGTCTGCCTGAATAAATACTAAATTTGGTCTACTTTCAATTTTCACTGCAGGGAAAAAGATCTAAGAAAAATAGTTCCTACATGTTCAAATATGAGGTTTTTAAATGGGCCATTTTGTCTTTTGACCATACACAATTCATAAGAAAATGATCATTCCCTGAAACAACTCCAAATTTCCACTGATTTAAGTATATTCAGTAAAGGAGTGTTTTTAACTACGCCTAGGAGAAAAGGGGAGGAGGGACCCTAGAGGGTGGGAGCCTGGCCCTAGAGAGAAGATGCCTGTTGAAATCTTGCATGGGGGACTTAGACTTAGCTGGGAGCATCCTCTTGCCCTTACAGTCTAAGCCTTGGCCCCGGGTTACGGTCACCTGGGCCAGAGAGTGATTGCAACACTTACCTGATGTCTGCATTGGCCGTCCTGTGACCTCTTGGACATGGACAGCGGCAAGTTGAACTTGCAAAAATCAACATATGCCTTTGAACCTCTGACGCTCTCATTGTCTTACCTGGTTTTAACGTTTTTACTGCTACTGGAGTAGTATTGTTCCAGAGGCCTTCCCATACTTCGCCAAACTGACCGGAACCTAATCGCTTCAGAAGCTGTACAGAGTTGCGATCTATCTCCCACTGGTCCACAGTTTTATATGACAAATCAAAAGGAGTTGGCACTTGTATCTGTGTCATGGAATAATAAGAATACTTGTAAGAAAAAAGGTTTAACAATGTTTTGAATGAAAATAATAGTCCATGTACTTTTTTAAAAAAGACCATTTCAAAAAAACAAAATATTGCCGGGACTGGTTTGGCTCAATGGATAGAGCGTCGGCTTGGGGACTGAAGGGTCCCGGATTTGATTCCGGTCAAGGGCATGTACCTTGGTTGCGGGCATATCCCCAGTAGGGGATGTGCAAGGGGCAGCTGATCGATGACTTTCTCTCATCAATGTTTCTAACTCTCTATCTCTCTCCCTTCCTCTCTGTACAAAAATCAATAAAATATATTTTTTAAAAATATATTATAAATTCTATACTAATTACTTTAAAATAAAAAGCGGTTGTGGCAGAATCTATATAATTACTTCTTTAAGCTGATCTCCCCCCTTATTCTGTTAACTCAGGCACCAGCTGTCCATCTATCCCACCCACCCCCAATCCCTCTCTCACATGGGTCTGGCATGATTTCTCTCTGCCTGTTTGTCTAACTAAATCCTCCCAATTTTAAGACCAAATTGAAGCTTCCACTTTATTTACAATTACTTCCCAAACTCTTTGGCCTTGGCCTATAGCATTTATCATATGTATCACATATGTTTGCATAATTAAATATTTCATCCTTTTTGAAATTCATTTATTTGTTCATTTATCCATTTACTTGTCCATTTAATAAATACATATTTTCAATGAGGTTCCATTCTGTAACCAAAAAGGCCAGGTCACTGCACTCCTAGAGTCCATACTCTAGTTTACCATCTACAATCTTTACAAACCCTTTTCCCCACTGGATTTAACAATATTAGTTAAACCGAGCATTTTGTAAGCTATATTTTTGTAGATAAGCTATATTTTGAGTATTTGAGTATTTTATAAGCTATATCTTTGTATGTTTTTTATATAAGCTATATCATTGGAAGCTTTTCTTAGCATGAGCTTACATACTCTTTTGAGGTCATTCCTATACTATCTAAGATGTATAATACATACACAAAAATTGAATATTAACTTGGCAGAATTTAACCCAATGTATCCTATACATATTATATCAAATTCTTCAGCTTCTATTGTCCATAAAATCCTCACCAGGTGTCACCATGCTTTCATCAACCATCCTGGTATAAACCATGGTGCTGGCTATCCCACTGACAGTACATGAGACCTGGACTCTGAGGAGAAGCTGAGGGCTTGTCCCACCACAGCACATGACCACTGTGTAACTTCAAATGCATTTAGGAAAAACAAGCGAGCAACTAAATAATGATGGATGTAGACACAGTCCAAAATGTCAAACTGTTAGAACAATTAGTTGAATGATATTTATATGTAGACAATTCATCCAGATAATGAATCTAGTAATTTCATATTAATATTCTTGAATGCAGATCTAAGTAGGAATTATATTCTGGCACTTTTTTTTTTTCTCTCCAGCCATATCATTAAGTGCTCCAATGGCAGGATAACATATTAATTTCTTAATGCAAAGGATGAATATTTTCTGTCTTCAGTGATTTCTTTAGGTCAAGGGTTAGCAAACTTTTTCTGAAAATATTAAGATAGTAAAAAATGTAGGCTTTGTGAGTCATACAGTCTCTATTGCAATTACTAAACTCTGTTATTACAGTAAAAAAGCAAAGAGAATTTGTAAATAAATGAGTATGTCTATGTTCCCACAAAACTCACTAACAAAAATAAGTGTGAGACGGTATTGGCACATGGCCATAGTTTATCTACCCATGCCTTAGGTAACCAAATGACCTTTTTTTTTATTTTTCTGAACTGATGAATCACATGTAAAATATTCAGTATCTTAAGGGGAGAAGTTAACTTCAAAAATAAGTGAACACAGCTTGAAAGCATTTCACCTTTAAGCATGGTTTCTCCAGCTTGACACACAGGCCATCACTTATCTTGGTGTAGTGGCTCACGAATTCATTCAACGTTGTAAAAGTTCTTCTCCGAGTAAGGAAAAAGCCCCCTTCGTCCAGTCTTCTGATTTTGTAGTGTTTCACGGCCCTTTCAACTAAAACTGGAACCCAAAATAAGTTCTGTTAATAACTTCTTGCCAAAGCCAAGCAGATTTACTTATTTTGTGGTGATAGTTTGAATGTATGGAATAAAATTTTTCACAAGTTCTACTTATTTGTCAACTTTGTTTCAGAAAAGATTTCAGAATATTTACAATGGACATACAGCAGAATTAAAAAGATTTCAGAATATTTACAATGGACATACAGAATTAAAAAAAAAGAGTTGTGAAATAATAATTTAAAGGAAATACAAGATAAAAATAACAGAGTGAGCCCTAGAAAACTATGCACTGCGGTATAATATATTTGACTAAAACAAGCCATAAAATTGACTCTATCATTCTAGCAATGCGAAGAGGAAACATTATCGGTTTCAGAAATTGCAGCATTTATAAGATAAAATCACAGGTGTTTAAATATACTTCGATTCTTCTTGATACAAAGATCAGGAAGAATTTTCTCCTATGAAATCCTATAACATGGACACTGAAATAGACTTAGTGTCCTCAATATTATCAGACAATAATATTCAAAATTTTGCAGGGCCATTCATTCTCTGTCTCTTAATTCAGGCTGATATGTGCTAGCAAATTTCAATAAAAGCAATTCCACAGGGCCTAACATGACACAGTCTATGTATACAATTTTCCAACAGTTTCATTTATCCCAGGGATAAGTCCTGTAGCATTGAAGGATAGACCATTTGCCCTTTTTTCAAGTCACTTGACTTGCAGTGGATATTCTGTTGCTTTTGCTTTCCACTAACCATTGTCCTCTCTTCTCGTAATGGCACCCCAATATTCCTTGGAGAAGCAATCTCCTCTAAGACCATGTGGTCCAAAGGGACCTGGTGCCAACCCTGAGCCAAGGAATGCAGTCAGAGCCAAGAAGACTGAATTCCAGGACTTGAAATCCAGGAAGAAATGTGTTATCGTTGTTGTCTTGTTTCTGTTTCTGTTTAACTGCTGGGAGTTTGACACTACCAGAAAAATTCTTCCCTCCCCCCCACTTCTCCCCACCCCGCAGGGAAAGAGGTGAGTTGCCTAATCAGATAAGCTATTCAAGTGGAAAAACAGAGTCTTGATAGGAAATGTAAAGCTTAACCTCTGGAGCCAGCCAAGCCTGGCTTGTCAGCTATAAGAGTCAATTAATTACATAATTTTTGTTTTAAATTACTTTGAATCTGGTTTCCCTCACTTGCATTAAAAATATTTACTGAAGCTCTTCATAGCTACCCAATCACTTAGCAAAGTTATTGATCAGTATTGAGCAGCATTTACTAGGAAAAGAGATATTCTGCATTCCTTGCTAAATATAGAAATTTATGCTTTATTAATCAGTTAAGTTGGAGCAATGTTTTCATGAATGGAAAGAAGACTGAGAAGATATCTCAATCCAAGCTCAGAGGTTTACTGAGGGCATGTCAAAGGCTAGGACAATATTTTCCTGGAAAAGCAATTGGTGTACAACAGAAGAGCAATGATTAAAAAAAAAAAAAAAAAAAAGACAATGTCAAGTGTTGACAAGGACATGAATAACTAGAATTATCTCTCTCCACACAGTGAATAAAAATGTAATTTTTACAACCATTTTGGAAAACTATTTGTCATGATCTACTAAAGTTGAACATAATGAGACATATAATGTAGTTATTCCACTCTTAAGAATATAGTAAACAAAAATACATCAAAATGCATATATAAGAATGTTTTTAGTGGCATTTTTGTCAGTATCTAAAGCTGGAAATAATATAACTGTCCATCAAATATATAATGGACTACTTTAAATTGCTTATATTTTTCCAGTGAAATACTATAAAGATATGTAAATAAACAGATAACAATAACACAGCAACATGAATGAATCTCACAAACACAAAATTATCGTTCCACTATTTAAAGATGAAAAAAGAAGCAAAACTGTTGATATAAAGAGTCAGACTGGGGTGTTGGTAACATTCTATTTCTTGACTGGATGCTGAATACATAAGTAAATTCATTTTGTGAATGTATACCAGACTAAACTTTTTAAAAATATATATAGAGAGAAAGGGCAAGAGTATAGTTAGCTCCTCCAAAAGCAATATACACTTCTTAAATTACAATATTTAGGTATCTGGAACACTTGCCTGTAATCTGTGTCAAGATACCATTCCCACTGATTATAACTTTGGGAAATGTTAATCAGCCTGTAAAATCATCACCAAATAAAAAGGTTTTATTAAGATACAGAGTTAAGTAGGTAGCAGATTCCTAAGTATGGATTAAAAGGTTAACAATATATCAAAGAGAGCTGTAAATAATATTAGCCCAAATTTATTTCTCCACAAAATAATAAAAATATTAGCAGTAGAAAGGTAGCTCAATATAAAATATATCTGCAGTTTATATAAGTTATTGCCCTGAATATTCGATCTTTGCCACCCATCGAAAAGAAAAGTGCACAATTTATAGCTGAGATGTCTAGTTAGCCAGTAGGTCTATAATTAGAAATGATGAAAAGCAATTAAAAAATCCTCAAATTTAAACAAGATGAACAATATCTGGTTCCAAATTGACTACATGGAAGTTAAGCATAAACTTAGGAATTCCTTTTTAGTGCACCACTGAAAACCTAGTGATTTCCAAGCTAGACACTAAAGCCAATAGATGACTGGCGAGTCAAAATACTCCTTGTGATTTTCTTAAAAAGGAATGCAAATCATAATGATTGATATTGATTATAAAGAAAGCCTAATAAATGTTTGCCAGCTATTTGCAGATAAAGATTTAAACCCTCAATTGTAAAACCAATTCTGTGTAATACATCCAGAGTTGTCAAGCACAATAAAAGTAATTGTGTTTAACCGAAAAGATGGTGAGATGGGAGATTCATATTACAATTTAACTTTATATGACCAAACATGTCAATCTCACTGGGCCTCAGCTTCTTTGTCAAGAGCAAGCTTTAAGAAATCTCCACTTTTCCAAATGTTTCCACATTTCTTAGTGTTCCAAAATTTCTTTTAATTTATCTTTATTGTTGAAAGTATTACAGATTTCCCCCTTTGTTTGTGTATTTCATTTTTTCCCATGGACCCCCTCCACACCATACTAAGAGCTGTTGCTTCTTCTCTCTAAATTCCTATTTCTTTTTCTTTTCTTTTTCTTTTTTTTTTTTTTTTTTTTTTTTGGTTCCCCTTTCACAATACTTAGTTCTCACCTTGGAGCCTTGAACACCACTTGAAAGCTTTTCCTATGCATCTTCCCACAAGATTTCAATTTAAATCCCCAGAACAAGCCTTCCCCACCCAGCTTATGGAATATACCCCTTCCCAGCTCCTGTTTAATGGCAATATATATATTTATAATAACATGTTATGGTATTCACCATCTCTGTCCATGAAGGACAGAGACTGCTGTCTTAATCCAGAGCTTGGCACACAGTAACAACTAACATAAACATCTGCCAGATGAATGAATAATGTCACTGACTCTTGGATTTGAAGTGAAATATAAGCTTTTGAAATGTTAGCTGCAAAATTAAATAGGTAATTACACAAATATTTTCAGGACAATATTTCCTTAGAATTTTATTTTTAATGGAAGGAAAACAAACTTAGCTTCAGGATATAAAGACTATTAGAGTATACTCATTCATGGTTATAGCCAATTTCTTAATTTTTTGCGACATAACACAAAAATAACTGCTTCGTCTCTTACTGACATCGAAGGTATTTCTATGTGGTTCATTTGAGTTTTCAGTCTAAACAAAATTGAAAGATTTATGTAATTTAAAAATTAGACCACAGAGCTATATCAAGGAAATCAATACATTGTAGTCAGGATGGAGGCACTTTTAATATTGTATTCCTGAGTAATCAAATCCAAATTATATGATTATTTTTTAAAAGTGGTTTTAATTTGTTAGTAGTGAATTTACACATTTGCATTGACATTCCAAATAAAGATTGAATTCAGGGGGTCTCAGAACTAGGGAGAAATAAATTTTCTATTCCTTTTTTGGTTCACTGTAATCTTTATTATTGAACCAACCCACTCCACGTTCTATAGACCAGAAGTGAATAATAATACTTGTGTCATTCTTATTGTGAATTACTATGGGTTCAAATTAGTTAAGCATTTTAGTAGCTCAACTGCAAAAAAATATAAGGCTAACTGTAAAATATAATGGAATCATCCATCAAAAACTCAGTAGAATCATGATTGAATGAACTGAGCTAAAAGGTCAAGCATCCTGAGTTTGCTTCTTGACTCTCATTTATGCTGTTTGACCTAGGGGGGAAATATTTCACCTGTCAACTGATTAATCTACCTGAACATGTCCAAGAAGAGTACAGTAAAGGTTTCTTGAATGTTTAAAGAAATCAACTATTTCTGCTCATAACCTTCTATAAGGACCCTGACCCAAGCAAGTTATCTGATTTTGGGGCACATTCACATCCAGAGTAACTGCTTCTAGGGAATTGATGTGATGTCAATAGAGTGTTGAGATTTTAGTCCTATTTGCACATGCAAATGCTTTTTCAAGTAGCCCAAGGTTATCATAGAAGCCCAGCTTTCTCCTAGAGGTGCGATCTTATGTTATATTGCTTCTCATGGTAGAAACGGGTTTGTCTACCACTGCACAAAGGAGTGCTATGAGATTTCATCAAATAGAAATTTCAAAGTCTACCACACCACTAACATATTACTCAGAACATAATAAATCATTATGAAATCCAAGATATTCCAAAGTTAGGTGTGTTTTTTAAGACAAAACTTCCAGAAATTAAATTTTGACTACAATATGTGTAGATGCTGTGTCTGAAACACTCAAAGACAACATAGTACACTCAATGGAAAATATCAATATAACAAGGAGTTTAGCATTTTATAGATAAATAAATGGTTGATTGAACTAGTTTTGATTTTCTGACTAGTCCTCTGGCATCATTTGGGCATAGCTGTATTCCTACTAACTGATAATAACCTGGTCATATACTGAGTAAAACAATATG